ACATGGGTAGGGTCAGAGTGTGGTGCCAAACAGAATGAATCCATGGACACAGTGTGTGTGTGTGTGTGTGTGTGTGTGTGTGTGTGTGTGTGTGTATATATGCTGTAGAGCAAAGAATTAACTAAATAAATAAATACTATAAAGAGCAGTAAACAGTAATATATGAAACAAAGTCAATATTTGGTGTGACGACCCTTTAAAAAATGTAAAAGTCTCAGATATGATTAGTGCAGTTTTATTTAAAAGGAAATGAGCTGTACGTTTTAGTGAGTATCCTGCAGAACCAGCCATGGTTCTCCTGGAGACTTTGACTGTCGCACTCGCTTCTCATTTCTGCAGCGAAACCCAGCAGCCTTCATTGTGTAATTGTCTGGTAGTGTTCTCTTATGTAATATTCTATTTTCTTTATTGACATAGTAAACAGTAACACCTAGTAACCCAGCCAGATCTCAAGAGGATTGGTAGAGTAAAGTTGCACACCAGTAAATGAACAGGCCCATATCGCTTACTGTTGTAATTTGGGGATAAGTAGAATATTAGGATGACTAATTAATCTCTGTTGTAAAGCAAGTCATTCACAGTCTTTTCTACAGGTGTTATGGAGAGATTAGGCGAAACGTGATCTGCACTGCCCTACAGGCGAAGACTCAGAGCGGTAAATCACTGTGGCTAAACCACACAAGTGGTGCCTAAATACTGCCTAGCATGAAACACAGCCCGTGTAGTCTATCGTAGTTAAGGTGTAATGTGTATAATGACAGGTTAGAGTGTGTTAGAATGAAAATATTCTACCTGATCAAAAATGGCCTGTTTGTAATGACTACCAAGGCAGAAATTCTCAAACGATGAGAACATTTTACGTTATAAAATCTGTGAAGGATTGATTTCAGGTCATCAACCGAGGATTTAAGAACCTGAAGCTGTTGAATGTATGTATGTGTGTGTGTGTGTGTGTGTGTGTGTGTGTGTGTGTGTGTGTGTGTAGCAGCTCCTCACCTGTTTCTTTCCCAGACATGATGAGACAAGGCAAGCAAACGATAAATAAGGAAATAAGTTAGTGGAAATAAGGAATGGTGGAACAGTACACTTCCACAATTCCATCCATCCATCCATCTTCTATACCACTTACTGCTTTTCAGGGTCACGGGGAACCTGGAGTCTATCCCAGGGAACATCGGGCACAAGGCGAGGTACACCCTGGACAGGGTGCCAGTCCATCACAGGGCACAATCACATACACACTCACACACCCATTCATACACTACGGACACTTTAGACACGCCAGTCAGCCTACCATGCATGTCTTTGGACTGGGGAGGAAACCGGAGTACCCGGAGGAAACCCCCACAGCACGGGGAGAACATGCAAACTCCACACACACAGGGCCACGGTGGGAATCAAACCCCCGACCCTGGAGGTGTCAGGCGAACGTGCTAACCACTAATGTTTTTCTTTTGCATCTCAGACAGAAGTAAAGTTCTAGCATTTTTAAAATTCTGGTTCCCGAATATTTAAAGATTTGGTTCTGACCTCATAGCAGGAGCATCACAGATGTTTTGACAGCTGGTATCTGATTACAAACTGAATGAATTAGGCGTATGTCCTTTTCACTATGGCAAAGAGCTGGAAAACAATTTGAATAAACCATGACATCTACAGTACTGTTTTAGACAACTTTAGACAACTTTAGGCAGGGTGACCTTTTTTTCATAACCAAAAAACTGGCTAAAACTAAACCTTAAACTGGCTCCTTGAACACAAGTTGAGCAAAGTAAGTTACGGGCAGGGGGAGAAAATATTTAAAAATAATTATTTACTAAAAGTATTTACTTCCAGAATGTTGTTTTTTTTAAGGGAAGACAGCTGATTTCTGGTCAGCGAGTTGGTTTTGATTATGTTGTGTAGCTTGCTGTGTCTTCACAGTTGCTGCAATGTAAACCATAGCAAACTAAAGACAGCAATGCCCAATAGCACCGGCGTAGAGCAATTTGAGAGATTTGAAGTGAAAAAATGCTGTTGGTAAAAAGACGTGTTTCCCTGACATTCTATTCTTTCTCAAGAAGAAAATGTGTACGTTAGGAAAGTGTGTGTGTGTGTGTGTGTGTGTGTGTGTGTGTGTGTGTGTGTGTGTGTGTGTGTGTGTGTGTGTGTAGAGGTGGGAAAAGAAAATAACTACACCATTATCTTTGTTGAATCACAACCAGAAGTCCTTATGTGAGGATTTTAATTATTCAAATTTGTACTCAGAAAGAAGTGTATTAACCATGCTGTCATGAAGAGTGAGGAAAGAAGGAATTGAGATAAAGAGAGAAGAAACTCATGAGGTAGGACAAGAGTGGACAAGACAGAAGAGGAGAGGAGAGGAGAGGAGAGGAGAGGAGAGGAGAGAGGGATGATATACAGTAAGGGGGAACATGAGGAGGGGGACAGACAATCAAGGGATTGAGACTTGGGGGTCAAGAGAGGACACTAGAGAAGCAGTGGGTAAAAGAGAAGAGAGAGAGAGAGAGAGAGTGTAGACATCTCCTGCCACTATAATAATGGCACAAACAAGCAGGAGCGAGAGACACCACTGACTCAGCCTCACGCCATATGAGCTGGCAGCATGTCATAACCCAGGTCATCACACACACACACACACACACACGCACACACACACGCACACGCACACGCACACTCATCCTTGTTACCCCACATATCGGATGAGACCTGTTTTTCCTTCCGACCAGTGCAAATGAAGCGAACACATCAGCATTCACCAGCACTTACCGTCTGAATCATCATCACCATCATCCTCATCCTCATCTTCATCATCTATGCACTTTCAGATGACCTGACACCATCTCAGCTGAAATGCTTGTTACTCCAATCATCATCGTCAACATGAACCAGGCTTAGGTTCAAATTAAGTCATTTAAATTCAAATTTAAGCATGTGATGCTTAATGCAGGTAAAAGGAAATGGATAAAAATAAATAAATAAATAAACTGATTGACAATGAAAGAAGTCTAATATCCTGTGGGATATACATGATTGAATTTTTTTTTTTTTACTAGTTTGTTATATGTGTATATACATACATACATATATATATATATATAGGTGCATCTAAAAAACTAATGCAAATAATATTTTTATATAATAAAATAAATAAAATAATAAAATTTTGATTTCCATTAGCTGTACGCCATAATCATGGAGATTAAAACAAAACAAAACAAAAAATAAATAAACAGAAACAAAAACAAAAATCCTGTAAAAACAGAACATCAGCTCAGACAGAAGTGCTGGCTTCAATTCAAATCACCGATTGAAATGAATGCGTTCATTCTAATAATCCATCGTTTCTACAGCCATGGCCAAAAGTATTGACAGTGACATTAATTTTGTCTTTCGCAAAGTTTTCTGCTTCAGTTGTTGTGGGGTTGATTCTCATTGTTTCTAGATTATTGTGCAGAGTGATCAGTTGCATTTTAAATAACTGTAAAAAGCTTCGTTGGCAAAAAAAAATAATAAAAAAATAAATAAAAAAACCTAAATTTCAATTGTTTTTTGGCCCGGGCACAAAATGACCAGCTAACATCATTTCACTAATCATATCGAGTGAAATCACTATCATTCTGACTGGATTAAAAGAACAGACTGATTGCTACAAAAGGAGGGAAGAAATGCTTCCAATCATTGTGTTCTTTTGTTAGGAATGGTCACCACCAAAGAAAGATGTGCAGCCATCATCGTTTTGCATCAAAATAGCCTCACATGCAAGGAAATTGCTGCAAACAATATTACACCTGAAAGAAACATTTACCAGATCATCAAGAACTTCAAAGAGAGAGGTTCAACTGCAGTGGAGAAAGCTTCAGGATGGCCCAAAGGTTCCAGCAAGTGCCAGGACCGTCTCCTCCTGAGGAGTCAGCTACCAGTCACCACCAGTGCAGAACTTGCTCAATACTGGCAGCAGGTGGGTGAGTGCATCTGCACGCACAGTGAGGCGAAGACTTTTGGACAATGGCCTGGTGTCAAGAAGGGCAGCAAAGAAACCACTTTTCTCCAAGAAAAACATCAAGGACAGACAGACATTCTGCAGTACAAAGCTTGGACAGCAGAAGACTGGTGCAAAGTTATTTTCTCTGATGAAGCCCCCTTCTGAGTGTGTGGGACATCTGGAAAATCGATTGTTGGAGAAGAAAAGGTGAACGCTACCATGAGTCCTGTGTTGTTCCAACAGTGACGCATCCTGAGACTATTCATGTGTGGGGTTGCTTTTCATCCAAGGGAGTGGGCTCTCTCACAATTCTTCCCATAATCACTGCCAGGAATAAAGAATGGTATTGAAATATCAACAACGTCTCCCAACGATCCAGGAGCAATTCAGTGATTATTATCTACAACTACTGAAGCAGCAAACTTTGCAAAATACAAAATTTATGTCCCTGACAATACTTTTGGCCATGACTGCATAGTACCGATCATTCACTGGGACTCATATAGCAGATGCTCTACAGAGATTTGTTATTTTTTCAAATGTGTTACAGTTTTCTGTGAGCAGATGTTTATAAACAGTCTGAACGTAAGTGTCAGTGGAGCATTTCATCAAGTCAGAACAACCTCACCAAAAACCAGAGACTGCTTGCTTTACAAACCTGCACATGAGAAAAGAGCCAGTCTGAATACAGTCCTGTGCTGGTAAAAACAGGAGGATTATCTGAGCTATAATATAAAAGAGAGAGTTGCGACCCTTTGGGCTGCCAAAGGCTTTGTGCAGCATTGTGGTTTTCTTCACAAGATGTAATGGATGTCCCTGTAAGTCCATTTGTCTGGAAGAAACAGTTACAGGGTACTACAGATATTATTCAAATACTCAGTCAATGAAATAAATGTAGACGGTTGATCCCAAGGTTGGTCAAAAGAGATTTAGATCTCTACATGGAGTCTGTATAGATTATTATGCCTGTATGCATAGTTTGGAATGTGGTATTCCAGTGGTATTCCTGGTATGAGGTGGTGGTGGCTCAGTGGTTAAAGGCTCTGGATTACTAATCAGAAGGTCAGGCGTTCAAGTCCCAGCACTGCCAAGCTACCACTGTTGGGCCCTAAATGTAAGTTGGTCTGGATAAGGGCATCTTACCCAAAATGCTGTATATGTAATGTAAATGGTAATTTTTTCTGATTAGAAAAAATGACCACATAAACATGTACACAAAATGTCCACATTAGTCAGAAATATGTCAAACGTAAACAAAGGTTTTGCCTTAGCCTGTAGTATTCACGAAAATTGGCCAAACCTGGCGCCAGGACTAAATAATAACTAAAACCAAATTGCACTTGGGAGTGAATTTGTATGTGCATGGTGACCTGTGATGGACTAACATCACATCCTGGGTGTATTCCTGCCTTGTAGCCATTGGTCCCAGGATAGGCTCGCAGACCTGTTTATGAACACCGTCAAGAATAATTTTTTCTGTGTTTGTGTTTGTCAACTCCAGCTATGACCTCTAACAACACAGCAGCAGGAGGGTAAAAGCATCAGAGATTCATTTAAGTACTAACTGCTTCATTTAAATATTAAATAAACACTGCATACAGTACACTCAGCCACACAAGCTGGATATGTCCACAACGTGACCTCAGTGGTCTAGCAGATGCAATCTCCTTCTGATTTCATGATATCAGGATTTAATGTCTACTGAGCAGATACCTAATATACCTGCATATGGACAATCCAATCCAAAGTAATTAATAATTTTGATTGCAACTGTACATTTAATACTTATTCTGTAGATAGTGGTGGAGATGGAGGAGAAAAGGTGAAGGAAGAATGTTAATATAAAAAAAATTGGTACAGTGAGGAAAGAAAGGGGGCTAACATTATGCAGAAAGCAGATCTGATCTCATCAGGTTCGGCAAACAAACAAAAAAGGGAGGTAAAATAGCAGGAGAGGAAACGGAGGGGTCATCCGATGCCGCCACATCTACGCAAGGATTGCACCTCCCGGCTAAGGTTTCCTTCTTCAACAAAGAGCCACCAGCGGGTTCTGCCGGCCCTGGTACAAAAGCTGCAGCCAAATGAGCCAACACCTCTTCCCTTTGGGGCATCCAACAAAACACTTTTGTTCATGTAAGACTGCAAAATCACCCCTGGCTGTCGAAAGGACTCTTTCTTTCTTTTTTTTTTAATGGTAGAAGGTTTTTGTCTAAAAATGTTATTATCCTTATCATTAAACACGGAAAAGGATTAGCTTTTCCACTGCTGTGTGATTCCCAAGCTGCCTTTTGTGACTGGGTGGTTTAAAAGTGAGAATTGTTCCTGGCAGCAGTTATTTAAACAGTGTTTGTTTCCTTTATGGTAAATGATAGTATCTGTATGTGTATTTGTACTTCCTTGTGCAATGGCATTTGTTAACAAATAACAAAACAACACTGTAATATAGCACCAGGAGTCATCTCATAACATAAGCAGAAATGTAAAAGAAAAGAAAGGAAAAAAGGGGGGGGGGGGGGGGGGGGGGAGATATAGGGGTGGAAGTACTGTTCCAGACAGGTATTTTCAGGGGAAATTGTTTTGCAACTGTTTCATCATCCCAGATGGAGAATTCCACCATTGGGGTACCATTTGTGTCCTGCTGATATACATTTTTTTCAGTGTGTACTGTTTGTAATGTGAAGTAACGAACATTTGAAACACAGGTAAAAGCATGGTAAAACCCATGCGCATGCTTCGGGCAAATAATGTAAAACAAAAAACATCTACAGCACTTTCAAAGCAGCATTTTTGCCTGTCCCAACCCAACACCTCGTGCATGAAAAATATTTCATCACTAATCCATTATAGGTCGACACATCACCTGTATGCTTGGTCAAGATGGCGGCGTGTGTACATGCAGCGGCTCAGCACTCCATAATTTCGCTGTACAATGATAATAAAGAAATCAGATCAGGTATTGAAGAAGTATACACTTTAGTGACGGGAGGAATAAACATGTCTTCTCATTCTTGTTCTACATTATATATTTAATAACGCTGTGATTATGAATGTCACTTTGAAATTACAACACTTTTACCCAAATTATACACTACAAACAAATTATTAATTAAAAAATGAATTTTAGGTAAATCATTACAATGCCCTTAATGTCCTCATCCAGTTAGCATTACACTTACTCATTTATGAACCTGTAAGCAAACGAACCTTTTAAAAATGAGATAGTGTTGCCTGAGATATATTAACACATTTCTGGATGGTTTCATGAACATCTTAGATTGAATAAGATTTAGAGTTTTAAGAGTAATTTCAAGAGTTATACGGACTACAAGAGTGGAATCACCCAAATAGCGTTAGGTTGACTCAGGTGTAGTAAAGTAGCTATGCAACACTGATATAATGATGCGGATCTTTTAGACTGTCCCACAACACTGAATATATGCTGGAAATGCAAAGAACTGTCTTTCTCTGGAATAGGCTCTGTGGATTTTGTCTCAGCTGGAGAACTTTTCCCAATCTTGGCTCCACTGTCAGGCGCCTCTCTCCAATCAACACCACAGGACAGAATGTCCCGACTGTGCCTCATGGTCTCCCAGCTATTCTCCTTCTCCCACACCACTTTGATCAAGATATACAGTATGCGTTTTCACTCAAAAGAATCGGATCCATATTTATTGTGCGGATTTATACACTAATCAATCTTCACACATGTCTTCTACGTAATAAAGTACAGATTTTTTCAGGAACTCTAGGAATTTAGAAAGCAGTGATAACAACTCTTGATCAACCACATCAGCAATTCTCCATTGTAGGTATTCCATTTAAACTCAATATAGTGTTGAAAATGTATTATTCATTCAATTATCATTGATGACAAACCTCACAGCTCTGAGGTCCCCCAGTTTGATCCTGAACTTAGGGTAATGTCTTTATGTTTTGCAAATTCTGCCAGTATCCATGGAGGTTTCTTCTCTGTTCTCTGGTTTCATTTAGTCTCTCACATACAGTGAGGGAAAGAAGTATTTGATCCCCTGCTGATTTTGTACGTTTGCCCACTAACAAAGAAATGATCAGTCTATAATTTTAATGGTAGGTTTATTTGAACAGTGAGAGACAAAATAACAACAAGAAAATCCAGAAAAACGCAAAAATGTTATACATTGATTTGCATTGTTATGAGGGAAATAAGTATTTGACCCCCTCTCAATCAGAAAGATTTCTGGCTCCCAGGTGTCTTTTATACAGGTAACGAGCTGAGATTAGGAGGACACTCTTAAAGGGAGTGCTCCTAATCTCAGCTTGTTACCTGTATAAAAGACGCCTGTCCACAGAAGCAATCAATCAATCAGATTCCAAACTCTCCACCATGGCCAAGACCAAAGAGCTCTCCAAGGATGTCAAGGACAAGATTGTAGACCTACACAAGTCTGGAATGGGCTACAAGACCATCGCCAAGCAGCTTGGTGAGAAGGTGACAACAGTTGGTGCGATTATTCGCAAATGGAAGAAACACAAAAGAACTGTCAATCTCCCTCGGCCTGGGGCTCCATGTAAGATCTCACCTTGTGGAGTTGCAATGATCATGAGAACAGTGAGGAATCAGCCCAGAACTACACGGAGGATCTTGTCAATGATCTCAAGGCAGCTGGGACCATAGTCACCAAGAAAACAATTGGTAACACACTACGCCATGAAAGACTGAAATCCTGCAGCGCCCGCAAGGTCCTCCTGCTTGAGTTGATGCCAAAGAGCTCCATTTTTGTCTCATCTGACCACAACACTTTCACCCAGTTGTCCTCTGGTGGTCAGATGAGAACAAAATGGAGCTCTTTGGCCTCAACTCAACTCGCCGTGTTTGGAGGAGGAGGAATGCTGCCTATGACCCCAAGAACACCATCCCCACCGTCAAACATGGAGGTGGAAACATTATGCTTTGGGGATGTTTTTTTACTAAGGGGACAGGACAACTTCACCGCATCAAAGGGACGATGGACGGGGACATGTACCGTCAAATATTGGGTGAGAACCTCCTTCCCTCAGCCAGGGCATTGAAAATTTTAAGTAATTACTAAGTCATTACCAAGTACTAAGTCATGTTTTGCAGAGGGGTCAAATACTTATTTCCCTCATTAAAATGCAAATCAATGTATAACATTTTTGCGTTTTTCTGGATTTTCTTGTTGTTATTTTGTCTCTCACTGTTCAAATAAACCTACCATTAAAATTATAGACTGATCATTTCTTTGTTAGTGGCCAAACGTACAAAATCAGCAGGAGATCAAATACTTTTCCCCCACTGTAGATGCTGGTAGTTGGATTAGCCCTGTGGATGGTGCCCTGTGATGTATTGATGTCCCATTCAAGGTGTATTCCCATCTCAAACCCAATGACCCTGACCAGAGTAAAGCTTTTTTATTACCTTTCAGTAGAGCAGAAATATAAATACATTGACCATGAAATATATATATATTTTTAATAACGTATTGAATCTATGGTGCTAAAGTAGGATTTATGTAAGTGTCACTCTGTCCTTTTACTCATAAACATATAGAAACTAAATCTAAACAGAAGAACATCAATGTAAAGCCCCCAAATCCCCACTGGAGGCCTTTGTGTGAAAAGTAAGACTATCATGTCACAGTTTCCAGTTTCTGCCGATCACAGTTACTATACCATCATTCCCATCATTCAGTTGTTTGCTGATATGCCCAGGACCACATGGTTTTAATTTTTTATTTTTATTTTAACCCTGCTCCAATACTTGATTTACTTGCTTTTACAAATTCTCTGTCTCAGCTGGAAAACTTTTCCCAATCTCGGCTCCACAGTTGGGGGTCTCTTTCCAATCGACACCACAGGACAGACTGTCCCTCCTGTTCTTCACAGTCTACCAGTTGCCCTCCTCCACATTTTCCACTCCTGCATAGCATTTTTCACAAGAGTGTGTTTTCAATCCAGTTGCACTAAGGCCAAATTATGCAGTTGGAGGAACACTAAATCTGTTTTCTTGCATGCTCGCAGGACCTGGTGCATGACAAGTCCATCAACGTAGAGTCTACCAAAATTTTGTAAACTTGCGGCTGATGCATTTGC